CGACATAATTCTCTTTATGTGTGCTTCAGGAGACAGGTTTGGTGTGATATCAACCCCTAGAACTTTCTCTCTTTCCGTTTCATTAAGTACTTCATCTCCTATTCTGTATCTTGTGACTGGCCTCCTGTTTCCACCGCCTAGTTTCATTACTTTGCATTTACTCGGGTTAAACTTCAGCAGCCATTTGCTGGACCATTCATTCAGTCTGTCTAGGTCGTCCTGTAGCCTCCTACTATCATCCTCTGTTTCAATCCTCCTCATAATTTTTGCATCATCAGCAAACATTGAGAGAAACGATTCTATACCCTCTGGGAGATCATTTACATATATCAGAAAAAGTATTGGTCCAAGGATTGACCCCTGCGGGACTCCACTTGTGACATCACACCAATCCGAGACCTCACCCCTCAAAGTGACTCGTTGTCTTCTGTTACTTAGGTACTCCCTTATCCAATGAAGTACCTTCCTTTTCACTCCAGCCTGCATCTCCAGCTTTTTCCCTAACCTCTTGTGTGGTACTGTACCAAAGGCTTTTTGACAATTGAAAAATATGCAGTCTGCCCACCCCTCTCTTTCTTGCCTGATTTTTGTTGCCTGGTCGTATAATTGAATCTACCCTGTGAGGCAGGACTTGCCGTCTCTGAATCCATGTTGATGCTGTGTTACAAAGTTCTTTCGCTCCAGATGTTCCACTAACTTTCTTCGCACAATCTTCTCTATCAGCTTGCATAGTATGCAGGTTAGAGACACTGGCCTGTAGTTCAGTGCCTCCTACCTATCACCTTTCTTGTATATTGGAACTACGTTAGCTGCCTTCCAAATTTCTGGCGGTTCCCCTGTTGCCAGTGATTTGTTATACACTATGGAGAGTGGCAGGCACAGTGCTTCTGCTCCTTCACTTAGTATCCAAGGGGAGATTCCATCTGGGCCTATAGCCTTTGTCACATCCAACTCTAGTAAACACTTCTTTACTTCCCCACTTGTAATCTCAAACTCTTCTAGTCGTTCCTGGTTATCTATTTCCTCTCTTATCTCTGGAATCTCTCCCTGCTCTAAGGTGAAAACCTCCTGGAATTTCTTATTCAGTTCCTCACACACTTCCTTGTCGTTTGTAGTGAATCCTTCTGCCTCTATCCTTATATTCATTACCTGCTATTTACTGTTGTTTTTCTCCTGATGTGGCTGTGCAGCAATTTAGGTTGAGTCTTTGCCTTGCTTGCGATGTCATTTTCGTATTGTCTTTCTGCCTCTCTTCTCATCCTGACATATTCATTCCTGGCATTCTGGTATCTTTCTATGCTCTCATGTGTCCTGTTATTCCTATAGTTTCTCCACGCTCTTTTACTTTGCTGCTTAGCTAGCCTACATCTCTGATTAAACCATGGGTTTCTCATCTTCATTTCATTGGTTTCCTTTTGGACTGGGACAAACTTGTTTACTGCTTTCTTGCACTTGTGCGTGATGAAGTCCATCATGTCTTGGGCCGTCTTTCCCCTGAGCTCTGTTTCCCATGTTATATCTGTTAGGAATTTTCTAAACTCCTCATAGTTTCCCTTTCGGAATGCCAGTTTTTTGTTTTCAGTGCCCCTCCTCGAGTTCAATAACCCTTCCTCAACCAGATACTCAAACGCCAGTACACTGTGGTCGCTCATTTCTACTGGGGCCTCCTAGCCGATTTCCCTTATGTCAGAGTCGTTCAGCGTGAAGACTAGGTCGAGTCTCGCTGGTTCATCGTTTCCGCTCATCCTAGTGGGTTCCCTGACATGTTGGCTTAGAAAGTTTCTTGTCGCCACCTCCATTAGTTTGGCTCTCCATGTATCCTCTCCTCCATGCGGTTCCTTGTTCTCCTAGTCTATCTTTCCATGATTGAAGTCGCCCATGATGAGCAGGTGGGATCTATTTCTACTGGCAGCAGAGGCTGCCTTGTCAATTATAGTGTTAACTGCCATGTTGTTGTTGTCATACACTTGCCTTGGTCTTCTGTCATTTGGTGGAGGGTTATATATCACTGCTACTACTACTTTTGGTCCTCCCAATGTCATGGTGCCTGTTATGTAGTCTCTGAATCCCTCGCAGCCCGGGATGACCATCTCCTTGAAGTTCCATTCCTTTCTCATTAGTAGGACCACTTCACCCCCTCCCCATCATTCCCTCTCTTTCCTTATTACAGTGTAGTTCTGGGGAAACACCTCATTTGTTATGATGCCTGAGAGTTTGTTTCTGTGAGTCCTATTACATCTGGGTTCACTTTTTGTGTTCTTTCCTGTAGTTCACTTGCCTTGCTGGTGATCCCATCTATGTTCGAGTACATCACCCTGATGCTGACTCTCTTCTGTCCTTTCTCAGATCCTATTGCTTCCCCTGAAGCAGGGAAACAGGGAGGGACCGGGATTGGAGGGCCTATGAAGGGGGACCTGGGGGGTCTAGAGTGTGCGGGGGCTAGGAGGATCTGGTACGGGGAGGGTGGTGTAGGGGGGAGGGCTTGGGGGATTTGGGGAGAAAAGAGGGCTTGGGGGGTGGGTGAGCGGGGGAGGTTTGGGGGGGATGGGTGAGAGGGGGAGCCTTTGGAGATTGTGGGAGGAGTGGACGCTTGGTGGGGGGGTATGGGAGGAGGGAGAGCTTGGGGGAATGGGGGGCTTGCGGGGGGAGGTTGGGGGTTAGGGAGTGCCGATGGGGATGAGGAAAAAGGGAGGACTGAGGAGAGTGGGGGAGAAGGGAGGGCTCAGGAGGGTGGAGAATACTGGAGGGTTAAGGGGGGGGGGCAGGCGAGAATGAAGGGCTTGGGGGTGGGGGAGAAGGGAGGGCATGGAGGATTAGGTAGGGCTTGGGGGGGTGGGGGAGAAGGGAGATCCTTGGGAGGGGGGGGGGCATAGGGCATCTATTCGGTGGAGGATGGGGGAGGTGCTTCTCTCATTGTGTCTGTTGATTCGATTGTGGAGGGTTCCCAGCTCCCCTCTGGGATTGTAGGGCTCGGGGTTGTGGCTCCCTGATTCCTTTCTTTCTTCCTGCGCTCCCTCCTTTTGGCTGCTGCCCTCTCTCTCTCTCTCGTCCCTTGTCATATCCCTCTGCAGGAATACCTTTTTGAACCTCTGTACATTTTCTAGTCCACTCTTCCTTGCTAGCAAGTCCTCTTTTGTTCTCTAGCTCTTGAATACCACCTTTATCACACAGTCTCTGTCCTTGTTGTACTGTCCAATCCTGAAAACTTTTTCAATATCTTAGTCAGCCCTCTCCATCTTTATCCCTTTAAGGATTTCATCATCTTCATTTTTGTCCCTGTCTCTCCTTTCCACTCGACTGGTCCCTGCTTGCTCTCTAATGCCTACTATTACTACTACTCTTTTTTGCTCTATCATCTTGCTAGTACATCTAGCTGCTTCCTGAGAAGAAGCCACTTCCATTGCAACTTCCCTAACTGCAGACCTAGCTTCAGGGCTCTTTTTAAGCATTTCTGCAAATGAGGACTGTTGTGTAGAAATCCGCTCAACAGTAGCATCACCAACTTCCTGAGGGACGGTCTGTGTCTGGTAATGTGGAGGAGTCTCCTTCAGGCTTCTTATCTCCTCTTTTGCTGCCCTAAGTACATCCTGCAGGTTGGCTACTGTCTCCCTCATTACCCTCAGTCCTTCATTGAATTCCTCCCACATGTACTGGAATGTTACCCTAATCCAGGCTTCCTGTTCCTCTCCATCCTCTGAGTATGTCCCTCCCATGTTTGTCTCCCTGCGATTGCTTCCGCGAGTTAGTATCTTATCTCTTGTCATGTTTTCTCCCTATGAGAGAGATAGAAGGGGGGAGGGAGAGAAATATGATTGCGTGTGTGTGTGTTCTGGATGGGTGGGGGACGTGTGTGTGCGTATGGAGGAGGTGGAAGGGAGGGCGGGGAAGAATGAACAAAGGAAGGAATGTAGGAGGGAAGGAAGGAGGGTAGGATGGAGTGAGGGAAGTTAGGAGTACGTAGAGGGTGAGAGAGGGGTGGAGATGGTCCAATGGCCCAGTGGGGTAAGAAGGAAGGAGGGGGGCATGATAAGGCACTAGCTGGTCACTAGTCACTGAGATGTGAAAAGCCCTGAGCCCTGAGGGGTGGGAGGAAATAGAATGAGAGGAGTAGAGTGGTGTGAGTGTGAGTGTGAGTGTGAGTGTGAGTGTGTGTGTGTGTGTGTGTGTGTGTGTGTGTGTGTGTGTGTGTGTGTGTGTGTGTGTGTGTGTGTGTGTGTGTGTGTGTGTGTGTGTGTGTGTGTGTGTGTGTGTGTGTGTGTGTGTGTGTGTGTGTGTACTCACCTAGTTGTACTCACCTAGTTGTGTTTGCGGGGGTTGAGCTCTGGCTCTTTGGTCCCGCCTCTCAACCGTCAATTAACAGGTGGACGGATTCCTGAGCCTATTGGGCTCTGTCATATCTACACTTGAAACTGTGTATGGAGTCAGCCTCCACCCCACACTTCCTAATGCATTCCATTTGTCAACCACTCTGACACTAAAAAAATTCTTTCTAATATCTCTGTGGCTCATTTGGGCAGCCAGTTTCCACCTGTGTCCCCTTGTGCGTGTGCCCCTTGTGTTAAATAGCCTGTCATTATCTACCCTATCAATTCCCTTCAGAATCTTGAATGTGGTGATATATTGGTAAGATGTCCCAATTTTTCACCTGAATGTGGTGATATATTGGTAAGATGTACCAATTTTTCACCTGAATGTGGTGATATATTGGTAAGATGTACCAAAATGTGTAAAATATTGGTAAGAACTCAACACATAATATTGTAACTTTGCACACAGTTCAGAGCTTGATAGAGATATTCTATTCTCCATAACTTCCTGTTGCTCTTTGTGTCATAGCTGGAGAAAACAGCAATATTGTACTGTTAAACGGTTTACAACCAGAAATAACTCATTGCTAGAAGCGCAACATATCTCATGCAGTACGACCATGTGTCTTGAATATCATTCAAGCGTGTCCAGTGCAGCATTGTCTTCATGAGACAGTTTCAGTCGTACCAAATTTACAAAGATGTTTTGCGCTTAAACCGACGCGCGTAAATAAAAATATGGAAGGTTTCTATGCAATATCCGTAGGGGTTTATGAAGGAAAAATATTGGATAGAGTATGATTCCATACGCGTGCCACATGCCCGCGGCTGTGACATGCCGTGGTGCTGCCACATGCCGCCCCGGCTGCCACATGCCGCCCAGGCTGCCACATGCCGCCCCGGCTGCCACATGCCGCCCCGGCTGCCACATGCCGCCCCGGCTGCCACATGCCGCCCCGGCTGCCACATGCCGCCCCGGCTGCCACATGCCGCCCCGGCTGCCACATGCCGCCCCGGCTGCCACATGCCGCCCCGGCTGCCACATGCCGCCCCGGCTGCCACATGCCGCCCCGGCTGCCACATGCCGCCCCGGCTGCCACATGCCGCCCCGGCTGCCACATGCCGCCCGGGCTGCCACATGCCGCCCCGGCTGCCACATGCCGCCCCGGCTGCCACATGCCGCCCCGGCTGCCACATGCCGCCCCGGCTGCCACATGCCGCCCCGGCTGCCACATGCCGCCCCGGCTGCCACATGCAGCCCGGGCTGCCACATGCCGCCCCGGCTGCCACATGCCGCCCCGGCTGCCACATGCCGCCCGAGCTGCCACATGCCGCCCCGGCTGCCACATGCCGCCCAGGCTGCCACATGCCGCCCCGGCTGCCACATGCCGCCCCGGCTGCCACATGCCGCCCCGGCTGCCACATGCCGCCCCGGCTGCCACATGCCGCCCCGGCTGTCAAAACTGAGGAATTGTGAAATGCAGTTCGCTGAAATGTTGTGCGGCTTGCGCTCTCCCACATACAACAGCTGAAACAAGCTAACATGGCTCCTCTTCCCCAACCCTCACTCCCCCCGTCTCGCTCCAACTTTTAGCCAAACTTCAAAATAGAAAAATGGATTAAGCACTTTATATACAGATGAAAGAAGGAGGATATTTGCCAAGCTAATTTGAAAGGGAGTTTTCGTTCCACCGATTAGACAAAACTCACTGTAAATATGGTTGACTTCATTCTCATATACAGGATCGAATGTTTTTTTTTTGGAATTAATGATAACCTACAACAGAAATTCGATTATTTAATGCAAATGGTTTGACAGTGTATATAATGAGAGGAAACGTACCAGGCGTGGCCTTATTCATCCATCTATGTATCTATCCATCCATGTAGTCAACCATTTCCCCATCTATCCATCCAACTAACTATCTTTCCATCTATCCATCTAATTATCTATCTATCTCCTCATGTATCTAACTTGCTATTCCTCTTTAGAATAGAACATTACATAATAACAAAGTACACTATGAAAACAATTATATATCCCGAGTGCATACTAGGCAGCCCAGCAAGTCTTCCATAGAAAGTGGGAAGAACAAAAAATGCATTAAAAACTAACATGACATATAAAAACTATAATATTCCTACTCTAATGGTAAAATTCAATTCAATAAAGGAACGGTAAATAGTATACCTAGGTGGGACATATATAAACATCTGCTGGGTACTGCATGACCCCCAGCCAACCTATAAGTTGTACAGTTATAAAACATGGTAGAAATATAAAACAATTGACATGAAAAACACTTACAAAATATCAGACTAACAAATACATGCGGGCCTTCCATCCACCCCACAAGACAATGCCAGGGTCAATCTCTCTGCACCCTGCACGTACTTTTAGTAAGAATACTCCCTATCACCAAAGGTGAAATTGGAAAATTACAATATATATATATATATATATATATATATATATATATATATATATATATATATATATATATATATATATATATATATATATATATATGTCGTACCTAGTAGCCAGAACGCACTTCTCAGCCTACTATGCAAGGCCCGATTTGCCTAATAAGCCAAGTTTTCATGAATTAATTGTTTTTCGACTACCTAACCTACCTAACCTAACCTAACCTAACTTTTTCGGCTACCTAACCTAACCTAACCTATAAAGATAGGTTAGGTTAGGTTAGGTAGGGTTGGTTAGGTTCGGTCATATATCTACGTTAATTTTAACTCCAATAAAAAAAAATTGACCACATACATAATGAAATGGGTAACTTTATCATTTCATAAGAAAAAAATTTGAGAAAATATATTAATTCAGGAAAACTTGGCTTATTAGGCAAATCGAGCCTTGCATAGTAGGCTGAGAAGTGCGTTCTGGCTACTAGGTACGACATATATATTTGTATATATATATATATATATATATATATATATATATATATATATGTCGTACCTAGTAGCCAGAACTCACTTTTCAGCCTACTATGCAAGGCCCGATTTGCCTAATAAGCCAAGTTTTCATGAATTAATGTTTTTTCGTCTACCTAACCTACCTAACCTAACCTAACCTAGCTTTTTTTGGCTACCTAACCTAACCTACCTATAAATATAGGTTAGGTTAGGTTAGGTAGGGTTGGTTAGGTTCGGTCATATATCTACGTTAATTTTAACTCCAATAAAAAACAATTGACCTCATACATAGTGAAAAGGGTAGCTTTATCATTTCATAAGAAAACAATTATAGTAAATATATTAATTCAGGAAAACTTGGCTTATTAGGCAAATCGGGCCTTGAATAGTAGGCTGAGAAGTGAGTTCTGGCTACTAGGTACGACATATACAAATATATATATATATATATATATATATATATATATATATATATATATATATATATATATATATATATATATATATATATATATATATATATATATATATATATATATATATATATATATATATATATATATATATATATATATATATATATATATATATATTATATATATATATATTAATACACAAAGACATATAAATAGTAACTATATGTAACCATACAATGGTAAAAAATAGAGATCCTGGACACTCTTAATCAAGACAGACTTATTACACAGAGACATGAATGAACAAACAAAATTGTCCAGATAGTTTGTGCTAGAGACCCAAGCTTTCTCGCTATAATCATTGTCTAGGACCACTTTTTCTTGCCCAAGTTACTTTACATCCCCATAATTGTTTCAAAGACTTTTCAGCCGATTAGAAATATTCATTCGACACCTTTAATAATACAGTTTTTTCTCTTAACCCGCATTTATGAACCTTTCCACTAAATGTCCATGTTGATATACGCGATTTCTTTCATGCATCCGTTGTACTCTCGGTTGTTGACCTGATGATGGTGACTGGTTCAGCGTCTGCCCGTCCATGATGCCTGCATATTCCCTGAGATCTTCTTACAAAAGCTCCGAGGTACGTCTGGTGACAGACTTCTCGTCAAGCTGCCCAAGTGCTCGAAGGAGGTGGTGTGAAGAGCAGCGGCGAGTGACAGCAGGCGAGGACTTGGCCGGTCACATGTGAACGGTGTTAGGAGAGATGTATGCAAGCACATCTCACAACCAGCTGCTTGACGCCGAAGGTCGATGTGTGACAGCAGCTACATAGCACTCGTCGGGACAGCAGGGCGGAGAAGGTGATGTCAACGATGTCTTGCATAAGAAGTAAGCAGGTGCAGGTGTTGAGACGTGTGTGGCGGGGTGGCAGACCAGGTGGATCACGTCTTCAGCTCCTGGGACCCATCACTGTACAGTCGTGGCGTGTGTCACATTCTACTGAGCCGGTACGCTTTATCGCGCACGCTCTAATGTGTCTGACCTTGGGCCGATGGTGAGAAACGTGCACATTTTTGGCGAGTCAAGCACACTCGGTAGGGAGGTGCCGTTGGAATGTGACCACCTCGTTGATCATCTTGATGGAATCAGTGATGTGGCAACCAGAAGGTCGAGGGGAAACTGGTAGGTTCCAAGCCGGCATACCCGCCTGTTGACCTCGCGCCTCCACTTCAGGTGTGCCTGCACGATGTGGCGAATATATGAAATAATTCATTATTGCCTACATATATATTAGGTTTATATTAGAGAGAGGTAATAGAAAAATATATTATTTGAATATTATTTTGTGAAGATTAGTAAATAATTGCATGAACAGCATGTTTGGGTGTGAACCAGTGGGCAATAAAAGGACTTATAATATGTGTGTTATATATATATATATATATATATATATATATATATATATATATATATATATATATATATATATATATATATATATATATATATATAAAGATGAATAGGAAAACCAGGGATATACTGAACATCTTGTTTCAGATTCTTTACTTTAAAATGCATAACGTTTCGAATACTTCTCGTATTCATCATCAGATCTAAAAGAAAAACAGAAATCACAATCAAATAACTGGTAAACAAAGAACTCATACTGAATATAATTGTCTATCAAAGAAAGGAAAATGCTTAAAAAACAAAACACTTAAGCTTACTTAAAGCGATCAATACAAATAAAACTTATTAACTGTCACATAGATAAAAGCTAATTTAAAAATCCATTAAATTACAATTGGAATTTTATAACTACTAAAACAAACCATTCTATTAAACTTACGCGAAGTGATCAGAAGTGAAACTTGATAACTAACACATAGATACTAAACACTATAACAAATATTCATATAATGACTACAAATCTATAAAAAATGTATATAAAATACAAACAGAATAAACGACAATTATAAAGTGCTAACCAAAATCTTATAAAAACTCAAATATTAAATAAAACTAAACACCAAAAAATTTATTATATATCCTAAATAAAAGATTATAATAATGTACAATGTCAAGACTTGAAATAAGTAAGAAAAGGCAAAGGCATGATAAACTAAACAAAATTATAATAAAATTAAACTACCAGATTGAACTATAAATCAAATTACAGGGCCTACTGTGCACTATACAGTGTACAATTGAACAGCCGAAAGGTTGTTATTTAACAGAGGCCGCAGCTCCTATATATATAAGGATTCCATTACTCTCAAATCTGACTGGCCATTCATACAAGTGTCCACAATTTTAAAATCAGATTCCAGCAGAGAATGATCAAACTCATAACAATGGTTTCTAGTCTCCGAAAATGCTGGTTTAGACAATGGTAATTCAGTCCTAAAAGATACTCCCCGGTGCTCAAGTCTCCTAATCTTAAAGTTCCGAATGGAACTCCCGATATATCCAGCATTACAGCTTGAACAATTATACATATATACGAAACTTGAGCAAAAGGAGGTAGGCACTTTATCTTTAAATTTAAAATAAGAGCCTGTAGGGATAACGTTTCTATCAATAATGTCTTTCAGGATCCTTTGCTCCATTTTATGAGCCGTCGAAAAGAAGTTCCTGTAAAACAGTCTAATAGGGGGTATCAGTGTTGTGTTAATTGACTCTTCAGAGGTTGCATGGCGATTCACCTTTCTTTCTATGACGTCTTCAACAAAACCGTTAGGGACGCCATTGTTGACTAGGACCTGCCAACCCTACAGAGTTCTTCATCGACTTGCTTCCATCCTGATCTGTAGCTGAGAGCCCAGTCGACGTAAGCGTTGACAACACTCCTCTTGTACCTGTCTGGGCAGTCACTATTGGCATTGAGGCACATTCCTATGTTTGTTTCCTTAGTGTAGACTGCAGTGTGGAAGCCTCCATTCCTTTCCGTAAATGTTACATCAAGAAAAGGCAGCTTCCCATTATTCTCCATCTCGTACGTGAAACTCAACACAGAATTCTGCTCGAATGCCTCCTTCAGCTGCTGCAGACGTCTGACATCAGGTA